AAGCGTAAATTTCACAAGGACTGGTGGCAAATGATCAATGAAGAAAATCACATAAGGGACATAGTTCTGCGTTACAAATCGAGGACGTGTGAATGAACAGACCTTTCTGGTCTGATTGGAGTCGCGAATCTTTAACTCCAAGGTAGGACTGTTTTCAGGCAGCTTTGGATGGGCACGGTACCAGCCTGTGATTAGGGACGAAGCAGTGTCCTTGGAAAATTGGAATATTTCGGTCTCATATAACACTGTTAGAGTTTCCAACTCCTCTAACTGTGACATTGCTGAAAAACTCTAGAGTACACTTGCTAAGATGGGCTAAGCTTCTACGTTCCTTAAGGGAAAATGATAATTGAAAGCCCGAAGGTTTAAATCACTGGCGCATTTTGAGATATGTGAACAGATATGTTTGAAAACACACAAGGCTAGATGTGAAAGAAAGTTATGCCAATGGAGAGCGGGACCAAGCAAACCATTGGGAAACTTCTGTCCCTAAAGTTAGGATAATAAAATGTCGATTCTGATCTTTGGGCCTTACGTTTGCAAGTACAGCAATTGTTAAATCATCACCCGTTTATATAGGTTCAGAAAAGGCTTTGAACCAACCACATTATCGCAATATTTGATTGGTGAGGGTTCAAATAAATCTGCGACTGGTGTGAGGAAACAGTTACAGAGATTCACCCAACTAAATTCAAGGAATGCACATTCACAGCAGAGTGATGAAACAAGCTTCATTTACCATCTTTTATAAATGCCATCACCAAAAAAATTATAAGAAGTTCTGGTGTGTATCACATTTCAGTCAAGAACTCAATCTTAGCAAAATGTCAGCATAATTAATTAAATACTTTAAGACCCTGAGTTTATTTTTCAAGACATTAATTGTTGGATTTAAAAAATACCGCCTGCATTTTGCATGCTTTCGGAATTCTGCAGCCTACGTTCTAAGAAATCGCAGCCGTCAAATAAAAGCTCAAGAACTGGAGCATCCTTTAATGTAGTTAACTGATTTATGAATGAGCTTGCCGACGATAATTCAAACAGCCAGTAGAAACGTTTGACGATTTTCTGCACAGTCTGCTTAATCAAGTCCTTAACAACTCCGATCAGCAAAAATATTTTTAATCAGCAGTTTCCGACAGAGAGGCGGATGGTAACATCAATACTAATGCGCCCATTTATCCTAACCTCTTGATGGAGAAAACAATTACCCTTCTTCTTCCTATTCTTCTACTTCTACTTCAAGCAAACTATTATGCCAATAAACATAAAACCTCATCTTTCTACCATAAAAAGCTTACGCACCAACCTCCAGTGGCTTGCTTAATTATCATTCCCTTCTACATCACAGCCGATGTAGTCACACCTCAAAAAAAGAGACAACTGCAAACGCTAGACAAAGTTGTGATTTCAGATGTTAATTGAAATATTATCTCTGCTCTCCTAAAGATGGACTTTTTTAAAATCGGGCTCGGGTATTTGACACCACACTAAACTGCGTCGCGTTTCCTGCTTCATACATTCTACAACAACATATTTTAGCTGACATCAAGGCATAATATGATTGTCACTACAGCCTGAATAGCAGAGGAAACACCACTTCATTGATGTATGTTGTAGTAAATTCAGCTCTCAATTTCTGTCTGGTTTGACCCTTTTATTTTTACCAGTGTTACAAATATACATTAGTGCTTTTTACTTAATTCCTGTCTTTCATTAATAGATTAAGCAAAGATCTAAACGCTCCTGAATTATTTTACTATGTCACAATTGGAAGAGCTTGAAAGCCTAACTGTCATATACAAGCCCGAAGATTTCCAATTTGTCAGGGACACCACAACCTCCTTGATTACTGGATGGTATTATGCTCATCCCAAACTGCCTCAAAGGACTCCTACATTGCAGGCGAGGATCCGTGTCACGTCACAGATTACGAAGCTGTTTCCTTACACACACCCGCAACTTAAACGGCTCGATGGCGCGTTGTACAAGGTATATTATATTGAACATCCACCTCCACTCCTAGTAAAATTTACGCTACCTCAGGGTTATCCTGAAACAGAGGCCCCTTTGCTGCGGCTGGAATGTTCGTGGATTCCGCCACTTTACTTGGACGAGGTTGTTTCGCGGCTGAATGCATTCGCGAGCTGTAAGATCGGAGAACAGTGTCTGTGGGAGTGTTTTGACTATCTGGAATGTGAGTTGTTGTCGAGTCTTCTTGGGTTGCCCAGAGAAGGTGACAGTCTGGTGTACGATGTGAACGAGAGGATTCCACATCGACGAATGCGAGATTCAGCCTTGGCGAATATCGTGGGTTACGATGCGTTGGAGAGGAGACGTGTGTTTAGAGAGAGTAAGGTGGAGTGTGAAGTTTGCATGGATGAGGATAAGTTGGGAGCGGAGTGCACACAATTGAGTGCTCGCACAAACGACAGATATTGTTGGTGAAATCACCTCCATCATGGGCTCCTCATTGGCAGCTCTGGTTGTGAAGCACTTTAAGCACGTTTCTGTCTTTTGTGCTTCCACAAACGTCAATTAGTTATCCGCATACAACAGCGAAGGTGTTCAAACACAACAGTAACATCAAATTTGCAATTATGACAGACACTGATCGATACTGTATTTAAAGCAGCGGCCAAGCGGGTTTTTAGACTACTAGAACAGTAATGGCAGTCTATTATTTAAATTTTAAAACAGTAATCATGTGTTTGCGTGAACCAGTGAGTTTTCACAAATTTGATATTGCATTATTCGAGAGAATTTCGGCACATCAACTGATATCTTAATATGGATCGCGGTGTTAATGCTCGCATGATGGTCGATGATTAATGCACTTTCAATTGGAGCTTGTTCGTTTTTGGACTAATGTAATTTGGGGGGGGGGGGTTAATAGAGCAAGAATTGATTGGTTGCGGATACCCTTCATGATTACCAGCAAGTATTGCTTATTCACACTATTGATGTAGCCAGAATTCTTCCTCTTAGCTGCGACAATTTGCGTATTTATCCAAATCCCTCTCAGATGTTTTGCCTGTCGCTTTTAAGGTGCGTCTATTGTCACCCCAGATCGCAATCCACACGCGATGGCGACACAAAACATCCCTACACGAACAACTTGGATTCCATTGGAGCTGTAGATCGCGCAAATTAACCCTAGTCCAGACGCAACAAAATAATAAAATCTGTGAAGGGCGTTAGACATCAAAACGTCTCTGGTCAGGCTGTCGAGGTCATGTTGTGGAATATCAACGCCAAACTTTATCATCAAGAATAGTGTTGTAAAATGGTCGCAGTGACAGGCCGGTCGAAATACGTTTAACACTCAGCTGTTTTCGAAGTCAACTAGATTGCCGTCTTTTGAATTTGATACCAGTGCACATCTGTTTAAGTACACAGCATTTTTGGCTCTGAACCTCGTTACCTCATCTCGTCGTCGAAAATCAAACCTCTTCCGATTCTAACAAAAAATCAACAAATGTTTCGCTCCATAATCTGCTAACCGTCATCTCAGTTGGAGGTTGGATGTGTGGGATTCGGGACGGCGCCAACTTTTACATATAAAACCACTTTTACTAGTTACGACAGCACAGTCGGTCGTTGACATTTGAAAGCTGAAAACCCCACACGCCAACGTGACTGGCCATCCAGTGTTATTTACCAGTAATATCGCTTGGTATTGTTATTTGTGCCACCTATGTGCGTCTCATTAAAGATTATTTTCAGTAATGTTGCGCCAACATCGGTAGTTCCGACAATTTTGCGACAGAACCAATTGGGCAATGGCAATGCGGTATTTCAAGTCCTCACCACAAACCAATGAAATCCTAGACGTCTCCAAGATCGCGTTGATCTGCTAACGGTGGATTGTCGGTCTCACATCTCAACTATGATTGGTTCGTTTGAATATCGTCGTGACCAATGGGGGCAATTCTAATGTATGAGATCGT